CTATGTTTACGATTGAAATAAAAAGGAAAAATTAATAGTTGTATATAGATTTAATATAGTGTAGGCCTATTACATAATATGAATGTTTATTTGCACAACATTTTAAATGAAAACAAATGATCATATAGTATATGTTTTGGTTTGGTTTAGACAATTAAAACATTTTTTACACGAATAAAATATTTCTGGTTTTGAACAAAGTATCCATTAGTAGAAGTCTTATGAAGGTAAGCCTATCAAAAAGAGACATAGGGTCGGATTCGTTAGGGGTCAAGGTGCCGGCAGCCTACACGTTTCATGCATTCAACATCGATATGGTATGACAGTGAGTTCATTAATATATTTGAATAACTCACATGATGTAATTGCATAATCTACTACACTTTGTTCCTTGGTGAGATATAAATGTGAATTCTCTGTTAGTGTCACCTTTTTGGTGGCCATTTAGAATACAGTCTAATAAACAATTCATTTAGGCTTCGGTCAAAATTATTAGAAATGTTATTTGAAGATACTCTACGATATGTCATATTATCATCAATTTGGCAATGCATCAACCCGGGAACAAACATGTTGGTATCATTTTCAATAAAATCTACCTCATCTTCTAGTTGTTTCCAGGGTTCATACTCATTGTCATCATAAATTGTGGAATTTTCACATGTAATATAAACAAAGGCGAGTAAAACATTTCTATCATAGTTGCTGTTTTTTTTTTTAAGATACATAAAAACTATGTCATAGCATCTTTCATAGATTCTTTTAAAGTATTTTGATAATGCTTTAGAGATTAGGACAGTAACTCCCACGGAGTGCCTACCTCTTTTAATTTTTTTTTGTTGTTTTTTTGTTGAAAGCTTAAAAAAAACATTCATAATTAGGAAATGCATTTTTAACTTTACTATCCTCAGGTAACCATGTTTCTACAAATGCAACTAGTCAAATGAATTACATAGCCCAAGGCTTTAACATCCCAGCTTAGATTTAAAACCTGTCACATTCCAAGTCATAATCTTTAGGTCACCATTTTTACTTTTAATTTTAGAATGATGTGTACTATCTGCTCTCAGACCTTGGCCAGATCCCTTGGCTTGGATCATTTTATCACTCTCAAACGTTAGCCTCACATATCTCCAATGATTCATTATTCTCCTTCACGTCAAAAAATAGGAGATTACTACGGGCTTCAAGTTGATTTATTTGTTGTTTCAGTTCCATATTTTGTGATTTTAATACCAGGTTTGACTTCTTGTGTTTCCAGCTTTTCATTGAGTGAGTCAATACACGATGATACATTGTCAACCTTTACATTTAATGGTGTTATGTTTTCATACATTTTATCAATTTTAACGTTCAATTTTATATTCATATTATTCAGCTGTGCCATAATATTATTTAGGGTAATTTTATCTGCTCCTTTTTGTCTGCACGTTTCCGGGCCGGAGTTGATTGCTATATCCCCTGCTAGAATCAGTAGAGCATAGACTATCGAAAGTCTCAGTACTAACATTATGGCCGACTAATTAGACATGACTTCTTTCTATCACTCCTTGGAGAATGCAGCCCAATTCTACGATAGAGTACTATCAAGCATACTCACGGTTTATAATTCTAGAATGTCTAAGCAAATACGTTCAAAGTGGATGTTAATCTCTTAGAGACCAATGGTATCATATATCACACCAACTGGATCAAGTCTATGCTCTATAGGCCCACCTACTTGCAACCTGGTAAAGGTGAATGCACCCCTGTAGGTGCCCTGTTGTTAGCAGTTGTAGAAACCAATCGATTAAAATTACCAAATTTTGAGAGCCATCCACATTAATTTGCAGTATTCTTGATACTAGGTTGAAATTTGGCTTTTCATTTAAACATAAGATCTTAATATTACGTAGTCAAATCTTGCATTTAGTTGGTAACTCCTACAGCAAATTCAAGTCACCTCTTGATGTTACAACACTGCCCTCTCCTCTCCATTTTTATTATAGATACAATGTTTACAAGACAATTTTTGACTGCACATGCATCAAAGTTTATTTAGATCAATGTTTATCTTGTCATTATAGAGGAGAGAAACCAGAAAATTCGTCGGGAGCTTAAGGTTGCCATCAAGAAACGTGATAAGAAGATGCTGGTGAAGTCGGTGGAAAATTTTAAGAACGCTAAGCTAGCTGACACTGATAAAGACCTACCAAAGGCAGAGAAGATACTCAAATTATTTAAGGCAAAGGATGGTAAGTTCAAGTCCAGTCTAGCTACAAGTGATATGAATTTATTACTTTTGTACTTGTATTGGCACATAATGCTACATAGAATATAAAAGCAAGGTACATACTTTTACCTTGAAAACAGTTTTGGCCAAACCAACTTTTCTCAGTTCAGGTATTGACTAGTAGTGATATTTCTTTTTCTCTTTTCGGACACCATCACCAATAGTTTTACAGTAATAATTCATAAATGGGGAAGTTGGGTATAATTAGATATTAATAAACATACAGTAAAGTTAATAGACATTGAATTTAATAAACATAATAATCACTAGCCGCACGGCGTTTAATGAGCGGGGAAAGGTGGCGATGTATATTGTTGAATGTAATGAGTTGAAGAGGCAATCGTTGTTGATGTTATGGTTAGAAATTTTACTATTTTTCTAAAGGATGTCTGTAGATGAGTGTCTTTGCTGGATAGTCCTTGAGAGGAATTTATGTCCAGTTTGATGAAGGGCGTATCCATAATTTTTCTAACGGGGGGTGGGGGCACAACATTTTTAGAGTGGATGTGAGTAGCACTTAATATAATATGCACATAAAACTTATAAAAATTTAGTGGAAAAACCGGGATGAACGTGCCAACCAAACATCCCCGTCCCTTAGTGGATCCACCCCTGTTGATCCGACAAAATATCAAAAATTTAGCGGCAAAACAGGAAGGCATGTGTTCAACACCCCCCCCCCCCAACTGGATCTGCCCCTGTTGATCTGCTCACCCCCCACTTACTGGATTCGCCCCTTGTTGATCCATTTTGTTTACGTAAATTCGAGGTGTTGATTGGTGGAGCTGGCTTGACCCTAAATTTACACTACCGTCCATTCATTAAAAGCAGATTCAGGAACATGCTGCTCATATATTTTGTTGACGTGAGGCATGCTCGATGACGTAATGAAGCTGCGAAACAGACTGTTTCTTTTACGGGTTGATGCGATATTTTTTAAATCTGAAGATTGCGGTACAGATTAACAGAGGGGATTTATTTATGTGACATAAGCGAAACGCAAAACATGGCGAAAAATGTACTGATTTTCGGCTGTTTTTTGCGTTGTTATGCAATATCCAGCCTTGAAAACTAACAGAATGTGATCGTGGCATATAGAAACCTCAGTGTATGAGAAATGAGCACATTTCTGCTAATGGTTTAAGAGGAAATAGGTGAACCTGGGCAATTAGTAGAATTAATATATAGATTTTAGCTGACAGTTTTGAGAAATCTCTGTTCAATAATCATGGTCAAATTTATTCAATGAAAAAGATTAGATTGTAGTAGTATTGGAGGAAATACTAGTGAAGGTAGCTGGGTGGCTTTTAAGGCGTATTCATAGTTTAATGGTTTAAACTCGTAGTGCAAAATACGAAAAGTCTCTATGCAGCTTACCTTCCAATGCCAAAATTTTTTCATTCAAATCTTGTAACACATTTATTGTGTCCTTTGGCTAAACACTGTATGAGAGCAGCTTAGCTCAGTAAGCTAAACTGGTGGCAGAAGCGGATCCTGAGATGTTAAAAAGTGGGGGTGGGGGCAAGAGCGAGCCGAAATGGGGGGGCCAAAAGTGGGACCGATCAAGATATTACTACCGTATGCGGTCCGGGGCTCTGCAAAATTTTTGTGTTCTAGACGCCCGAAAATAACCTCTGAGGCCTTTTGGGCGATAATTTTTTTTCTTTTTCTTTCTTTTTTTTTTTTTTTTTTCTTTTTTTGTAACCTTCCAAAAGGGAGAGGGGTCGGGGTTGGCCCTGCCCTAAATCCACCCCTGCTTGGTAGCCAATCCGGAAATTCATCTTGCTTGTGGGAGTGCAAGAGACTTTTTGATCTCTATTAAACTTGGGACCCTTGACTCTTTGTTCGTGCTCAGTTGAAGACGACAGTTAGACAATAACAAAACACTGATTCCCCAGCAGATGCTTTGACAGCGTGTGAAAATTTGGTTGTGTAAAATGGTAAATACACTTTACTCAACGAAGTCAATGTCATTTGGAATGGTAAATCTAAATAACCATTTTTTTGTCGTCATAATAGTAGTATTCACACAAGTGTCTTGGGGCCCCAAAAGCAACAAAATCACCATGACAAAAGTCTGGAGCCCCAGAAAACAAAACTTAACTACATTATTAGCGAGTATATATAAAGAAAGGTTTAAAATGTAAAAAGTGAAAGGCCAAGGCAATATAAATAATAATAAAAAAAACACGACACAGATTTCGCACACAATTGAATAATAGATAATTGTTCAACAAAAATACTAAGACATGAACGTGTTTGATCCAATGTAAAATGTAAATGGATTGATCGGATTGATTTTCTAATTTGCATGGATGCCCCACAAAATAAAATTAGATTTTACTGACCACCAGCTAAATAATTCTATGTGATTTTCTGAAAATTTTAGGGAGTTCAATTCCCATGTATCCAATGTCCAGGGGGAAATGCTCTCTGACCTAAAAGAGGAAAAATTATATAAATGACTAATATTATTTGTTGTTTATTTATTTTTTTAGTAGCTATTGCAAAATATTCTTTCCTTGGAAATTCACACAGACCATGTTGACTGAGCTTTAAAGTGTTGCTTGCATCACATAACTAACACTGATCTTAAAATCAATTTCAAAGTACCTAGTGATATAATTTCTGAATAAGGCTATATTTATCTTTCAATAGTTTATGGTGTGGATTTATAACTAAAGCATATTGAAACATAAAGTAATATGCTTATAATACAAAATACTCTTAGAAAACTATCTTGTAATGTTTTCTGTCTTTAAGATTTGGAAGATGCTATGGAACGAAGAAATTTGGAAGACCTGGAGAAGTCAATTAACTTTGTCAAGAAGAACACGTTTGAAGCTGATCTCCCGCATGAGATGATCCGAGCCAACAAGATGCTGATCAACTTAAAGCGACTGAAGCGTTTACGCGACGAGATCCTCAACTTGAAACAGAGCACTGTGGCTGAGATCCGTAGCTATAGCAAGCCTCCGCGGGTTGTCCACCAAGTGATGATTGGCACATATCTGTTGCTAGGCAACAAGGAAAAAACCTTAAAGGTACCACCTAGGTGGCGACGACCTTTATGATGGTCAAAGGTTATCAATGTCTGTTACTGTGATAATATCACTGAGGAATACATGCTTCTAATAACACAAAACTTGTGCTTTTTCCCTATTTTTTATTCTTATTAATTCTTAACAATCAATCTTGATCATTAATTTTAACTACTTTATATTCACTAGCACAATATTTATTATTATTATTATTATTATTATTATTATTATTATTATTTGCAATGACTTGGATGTGCCTGACCTCTTCAAACAATAATTGGACTCTAAAAGAATGTACCAAACAACAAGGTTAGAGGATATTAAAAAGTCCCTGAGGTTAGTCTACCTGAATTAAGAATTTAAAAATATATATTTTGAGCTCTAAAGCAAAGTCATGCCCCTGGAGGAGACAGAACCTTCACTGGCAAGGAGAAGCCAATAATTTTGTCACGAAACACTACATACAGGAACCTCGTCCCTCACAGGGGTCTGGTTGTTATAATACCATCAGTAGCTCTGGTCTTCACTAAGTTCTTGGGTTTAAATTATGTGTCCATCACCTTGGGCTTTGGTCTGCCAGTGTCTTCAGTGACTTTATTTGAACTGGGGATATTAATATTCCTCTTTCTCCAGTTTTTTTTTTTTTTTTTTCAAATTAAAAAAAATCTGTCATCGGTTTAGTACAGGTATTCTATAAAATACTTTTATGTAGCTCTGTAGATGTTTTAACACATTCTCAGTGATGTTGTCACTACAGTAACAGGGATTGACCTTTGCCGAAGGTCAGGATAGAGCATGTTCACACTTCATATCACTCAATGCAATGGCACCATTGTTAATTAATACGATCTTCATTTGCATGTTCATTCATTTTGCAAATATTAATGAATATTCATTTTTTAAATTAAAATACTTTTTTTTAACAAAATGCTTTCATTTCCATGTTCTAGAAAAATAATTTACTGTACAATGCATGTATTTTAAAAAAAATATTTGGAAAATTTGAAATGAAATTACCGTAGTGAGATAAAGCAAGCAAAATAATATTGCTTTAACACTAATGACTGCAGTGGATATGTGCACTTTATAAGTCTTATCAATAATGAACATCAACAGACAACAGATTGCATCATGAAGCATGAAACTTTTTCGAAAACTACTAACACCAGCAAATAATGAATAAATATACAAAATTATTATAGGAAAATATCTTCAAATGCATGCATTGTAAATAGTAGTTGGAAGCAGTGTCCCAAAACTTGCTGTCAACAGAATTAAGGTTGCTATTGTTCATTAACATATCATGGCATACCATGACAAGGTGTAGACATCATCTCGTAGCTACAAGTGACAGTCAGAGAGAGGCTGGGGATGTGGAAAGTCTATATACAATCAAAGACAATACTAATTTAGTTGGAGTTGCTACTGCTATATTGTAGTTGTTATTGTTATAACATGTGGCAAAGATAAGCCAAACCAGTCACTAGTCGCAAATTGTGTTTCAGAGAAAATGGCCAAAGCATGCTGGAATGTCAAATTTTTACAAATCTATTTTATTGCACTAAACTAACCTTTATATATCTACACACCATCCTATGCTGTTATTTCCCCAATTTTCAATGTTAAAACAACACTTTTTAAGGATTTTAAGATAATTTCTGCATGAGAATTGTCTGAAATCATAAACTTTGAAGGCTGATTTCTCATATATTATTCTTTAAACAGCTGTGTGCTTAAACGCTTGCAACTTCATAAAGAAATATCCGATTTGAATGATTTTTTTACCATTTTATAGCTATTATTTTACTATCTAACACTGTATTAATAACTCAAAATCGATTTTTGCGACGAGTGACTGGTTTGGCTTGTCTTTGCCACATATTATTAATCCCATTGTAGTTGTTATTGTTATAATATTATTGATCCCATTCTCCATATTTATTTTTTATTTGCAATTCTTTGTCATTCTTTTATAGTACTGGTTGTATGTAATTTTCAATATTTCAACATTTTTATAACAATTCCCAACATAAAAAGTCCCTGTAATAAATTACTGTGATTCAGTAAAAAATGATTATTATGACGCACAGTGTACTGGAAACAATTTTCTTTATGAGGTATTTGATTTTGACTGGTTGATTTCTCCTATGCTTTTTAACAATATCCTTTAAACTTTGAAATTGAATATAATTTAGATTACAGAATATGATCAAAATGCATTTTGATTTTAGTATTTTAACTCCCCAAAATAACATACTTTCCCATACCTTATTTTGTTTTAAAATTTAGTTTTAATTTCTTCATGAATTACTTACAAGTAGAATCAAAACAAAATTTAATATTAAAAAAATGCTGCTACTGTAATACAACATTGCTAAAGTTTGATGTTGCTCTGTTTCAATTCTACCAACCAACCAATAGACTTCCACATCTCAAAAGCAATAGCCTCTACATCCAGACTGTCCCTTAGTACCCAGACATAGATATGTGCCAATTATTTTTTTGTTTGTGGGGGTAAGCTGTTGCTTAATTCATTTTCAACTAAATTTTGCTTCATTTTTGTTTCATTTCATTTATATAACAGGTAAGTTGTTTTGTTTTTTTTTTCATTAATTTGAGAAATTTGATCATGTATCTGAGGACCTAATTCTGTTAGATTGTTAATTAGATTTTTCACATAGTCTTGGACTTGAGTGTGCTCCTTAGCAACAAATTCCTGGTTTCATGAAATTATTCTGCACAATTCTAAAAGCATTTTAGACATGATCACTGCACCATTGTAGGAAACAAACCAGTTTAGTTTGCATTACCCACTACATTACCCATTACACTATTAGTTTCTGTTTATTATCATCTTTGTAGGATAAACCCTGTTCAGTTTGCATTACTCTTTTTTATTTTTTTCAGACATTTAAGCTGCTCCAAATTTCTTTCCTCTTTGTTTCCTGTTCTTATTATTATTATATTGCAATAATTAGTGCTAATATGCTAAAAATTACTATACATAGGGCCTAGGTGCTACACCTTCTGTAAACTTTGTGTGCATATTATACTCAGTTTAACACACGAGTCTTCCCGTCTTCAAAGTCAAAGTTAGCTGGTCTCATGCCCATCTTTAGGTAGGCTTTCTTCATAAAGGCTGTTATCTGGGTGTCTTGTTGTGAAGTTGGAAACAAAGTTGTCCCTCCCCAGTACCCGCCTGATTATAAATCGACAGGAAATTTTACAGACAGCTACATTTGTATAACATTTATTTTTTATGCGTGGGATACTCAAGAACATGACTGCTAGGCATTCTCCCATTCAAATTTTCATTTTAAATCGACAGAAAATTTTACCAGTAATAAATTAATACTTTAAAACCTTGAATAGAAGCTCAATGAGCTTAATCTAGAAGAATAGAAGCACATCTTGAATTGAAGCGCCCTCTTTAGTTTGCAAAAGTAGCCTGGAAAAGAAGCCCATCTTGATAAGAAACTCAGGTCTTCTTTTCAAGATAAGCATGATGTGTTTTTTCAAGATAGGACAGTACATACACTGTACATGAATTACAAAGCAACAAAATAAATTAAAAGCACTCTTGATTTAAGTAATTTAATGCCGATTGAAACACTCCATGATACAGATTGATGTTACAATGGCCCTATTTATTGTTTTATTGGTAATTCCCAAAATTTACAGCATTAATTTTCAAAATAATGTCCCCCTTTTTACTTTCCAAAAGTATCCTCGAAGAAAAGCCCATCACCAAAAGAAGCCCATCACCAAAAGAATCCCATCAAAAGTTTGCAAAGAAAAAGAAGCCCTAGGTTTTACGGTATATATAGTGCAAAGCCATTAACTTACTGCAAGTCATGCTAACTTCTACTTAGGATTGGAAAGGTATGCAAGCATTGATCGGTAAGACTGGTAAAGATGGACTTAAGCGGCGTGTCATGGAGTTTAAGCTGGAAACAAGTGACACTGGTATCGCAGAGAGGAGCAAGGCCATCCTGGACGAATTTGATCTGGAGACCGTTAGGGATGTCAGCGCTGGCGCTGCTGTCTTCTATGCATGGGTAAATATTTTATACTATCATTGTAATGGTACACTGTTTTTGCACTGAGGCATAAGCATAATTTACAGGCTATGCTTACGCTGATCTTTTGAGCATGAGCATAATGACGTAATTATTATTTACAGGCATTGATAAAATGAATGTATTTTCATTAGTGGTTATCGAACATGAGCCTTCGAAAGTTAGTCCTTTTTAGGAATTTTCCTATGTGTTAATACACCGTGTAATCTGAGTATCAATGCACCACTTGTATTTAGGGACCCAGTTTTCAGATTTCGTTCTGCTCCAGTTTTCAGATCTCGTTCTGTTTTATTCCAAGTGCTTTTTTAATAGATTTACAGTTATTGTATGCTGTTATTGATTCTGGGTAGTGACACATCAAGTCCTGCACTCGTTCTGATACCCAATTTGCCATTACAATACTACTAACAACATCATCCTTAGCCTACTATCTATCAGTATGGGCCTATTCAATAGAGCCCTGTAGGTGTACACAAAACATCATCTTATGTTGTGTATTATTTTAATTCATACCCTCATCATTATTTTTTAAAAACTGCATTAAAGTCAAGCCCTTATTGTAATGTATTCTTTATTCGAAGGGAAACTTTTGGGGTCTGCCAAAACTATATATAGTTTATAGTATCATGTATGATACATTTAAGTTTATGACTTAACACAATCAGTATTCATTATTGAGCAAGTATACACATCTTCACTAAAATCATTATTTTCTAAAAACTAGTCACTGTTTAAAGAAAAAATGTTCAGTTTTCCGCCAAAAGTATCCATGAGTGTCAAAGAGCCTGTTTCTACTGACAAGAAAGAACCGTTTTTTTTTTTGTGTGACAGTTGAAACAGTGCCCACAAAAAAGAACCATTCTTTTTGCCGTCCCAACAGAATCACTACTCTGCCGAAAATGCCAAAGAACCGTTCTTTGTGGAGTAATTTTTAGTCTACTGGTAGAATTGTCGATAACAAAGGAATTGAAAGTAAATTTTCATCAGACATTACTTCTCATGTAATTTAGGCCTCTTACATTATTTTACCATTGGACATATTATTATATAGTAATTTCATCAGTAATGATCAGAAATGTCAGTGTTTAACCAGTCTAGTGATAGACTTACTACATTATAATTTATTATTAGGGAGAATCAGTAAAACAATTTTAAACTTATATTCTCAACAAAAAAAAATATTCTCTTCTGTTAAGTTAGAAATTAAGAAATAATAAATTGTTATAGAATGGAGGCACAGCATGCAGTTGAATTTATTCTTAAGGATTTCCTTGAAATGCAGATATCAATTCGTGTGCTTGTTCTAAGCAACTTTCCATTAAAATATTACTAACACCACCACTACATTATCATAATACTAAATATACACAAAACACACACAAAACCATCTTATGATGTGCATTGGCCAATATTTTTATGTTTTAAGCATTAACATCACTATTTTATAGTGGCATTTAATTGGAGGGAATTTTCATTTGGGTCCACCAAAACCATGGTCTGTGGTCTGTAATAGATGGAGGGAGTCTTTAATTGGCAGGAACAGCTAATAGGAAATCAAATGGGACCAAAGAAAAGTAGTCTTTAATTGCAGGAAGGGTATTTAATTTCATGGAGACCTAGCTGTAGTTTAATTTATTACAGTACTGTATTGTCCACTTAATTGGATAGGTCCTGCAGTGTTCTTTAATTAGAGCACCATGTGATTATTCGTGTAAAAAGCCTGACAAAGTCTCACTCTACATTGGTGAATGAAGTCCAGGCTTTTCATACTATGGGTCTCAACCCATGAGGGTAGCCAGTCTGTTGCATTGGGTCACAAGTAGATTTTCAAACAACTTTTAAAAAGATGGAACTTTAAAACAAGGTAGCTTTATCTAAAATGATAATGGTGTTGATTTGCTTTCACTTGTATTTTTATCCAGGGTACTGCTACCATTGAAGAAATTATTGATTACCACAACCAGAAGAAAGATGGGGAAGATGTCAGTGGAAAGGAAAGTGGTGCCAAGAAGACAATTAAGCTTTCCACACAGAGTGGTACACTCACAGTTAAAATCTAGCAGTAAGGTACAATGATAAAACAGCAAGATGTTTATTGTTTAAATAATGAAAGTAAAAATGTAGTACCTGTATCTAAATTATATGTAAAATTAAACAAAGCTAGAGATTTTTGTTGAGGTGGGTAGGGGTGGGGGTGGGGGTGGTTCTACTAACAATTTCAAATAGTTGTAATCAACATTGAAGTGATGAAGGTGTACATATCTAGAGACATCGAAGAAGAAAACAAAATTTGTTTTAATTGGCTTTTTTCCTTAATTGACATACAATGTGGTGTTAAATAATTTTGTGTGGTTTTAATTAATTGACAACAATATCTTTAACTTTAATTATCACCTTGATTGACGTATGTTTGTAAATAATTATGAATTCTGAAACAGTTTAATTGTCTCCAAATCCAAATATTTAGATATATAGTATATTTATATTTAATGTTATTTAATGTTATTTAATGTTTTGTATATACTTTTACAAATTACTAATATAATATCATTCAGTATTTCCACCAAATTATAGTAGTAATGTGTGTAATTCCATATATTAGTATAGCTTTAATCATTGGCGGATCCAGAATTTTTCAAACAGGATTACTAGATTTAAATATGGATTTTATGAAAGTAATTTTAGACAGACTTTATTGCGTCATATATGCAGTGTATAGAATATCATCATTTTGTGGTAAAATTAATGTTTATAATAATATGCTTGGTATATAATTTTAGGCCTATTACTTTTATTCATATTGTATATAAAAATCAACATTAAAACAATACATAGAGTTGTCTTAATGTGTCCGAGAATTGTTAAACGTTTCCTTCAGAACCATCAGTAGACCTACTACATATAGCAGTTTAGTATGTATGTTTACTACTAGTACTACTGAAATAGCTGATCAGACTCAACGCTGCTTTTTATACTTTTAAAGACCATGCTGTACGTAAACAGTGCATAGGGATATTATTCTGACATTAGTTCATTATTTATTATTGTGTCGACATTATTACTATAGACCGACTACCAGAAATTTCAGCCTACCCTACTAAATACGCCATAGCTTTCATACGCTTTCATCCACAAGCAGTGACCACTGCTTTCGCTACTCGCGAAAGAGAAGTCAAGCATGCAAACTCATGTAATCAGTTCACGTAAATGTCTTTAAATAGCGCCCTATATAATTTCTGCCTTAATTGTATGAGCAAAAAATAACGCGCCCCCTTCCCCTAGGCCTAGCGCTTCCTCCCATTTCAAAAATCCTGGATTTGCCCCCTCAACACACATCAAGCTGAAGACTACTTCATCTCTCTCTCTACAAATTGAAAATCTAATCTATTAGCCACGCCAATCAAATAAATATTCTGGTCCAAGCCTCTGGAAATCCCTTAATGAAAAAAAAAAAAAAACCCTCAAAATTCACCCCCAATATCAGCTTTAAATTCGCACTTAAAAAAATGCTTTTAAATGTCTATTGGAGTAAATTAAAGCATCCCTACTTATTTCTTCGCCTTCTTTATCCCTATCCATTACGTTTCATCTTTTGGGACTATATTATTGATATGTTCCCCGATGTTAATATTATTGCTGATTTTGCAATTATTTCCGCAATTGTTTATTTTATAATGCTCTTTCTATTAGGCCTATATTTGCGTTTCAATTAATATAATGCAGTGCGTTTTTGTAGTCACTGTAATTCTTTTTTTCTTATTGTTTGCTATTAGTTTTATTAGTGTTACTGTTAATATTATTTTGCCCTTTGTTGATATTACTATAATCAAAACTGTATTATGAATTTTTTAGTGGGTTTGATACGGAGCCCCTGGGCGGACATGGCTATAAAAAAAAGTAAATTATTAAATTTATGATCGTGTGTCGCAAAAGCACCGACACACCCTCACACCGGACACCAATAAGAGACAACTTCATTTAATTAAGCATGGATGAAAAATGACGGAATGTAAATACTACAACAGAGGTCATAATTCGACTCCGTTACGGTACATAGACCAGATAAAGTACAGATAAAAAGTTAAAACTAGATGAAAACACAACCAAGAAGATCTTCAAAAAGACACTTTAATAGTGAAGATATATCTCCGGGGGATGACCTTGTTCCGGCAGCAGTCATAAAACAATGCAAATCGTCTCTGTATATGATCTGTTGTTACAGTGGTGGAGATATAACCCGCAAAAAATTCCACAAAACCTACTGAACTCAAAGATCATAACTCTTTACAAGAACAAGGGTTCAAGAATAGACTAACAACTATAGAGGTATCTCACTTGTCGGAAAGCTATTTGCAAAAAAAATGTCAACAAGAGATTATTATGATAGACCAGGGGCGGATTTAGGTGGGGGGGCCGGCCCCCCCCCCCCCCCCCCTCGGC